CGCAAATAATTGGCGTAAACAGTGGCCGATTGCGACGAAACTTTCCGTGCCCTCAGGTTAATCAATTCTGCACCTTCTCTTAAGATTTCATTACCCTGACCCAAATGACCTTTGACCTGTGATCTATTTATCTAGACCATGTTTGGTCGGCATTGCGATTCGGCGTATGTCGGCTTGCATTAGCCGCGCGCTTGCAGTCCTTTCGTGGTTTAAACTTTCACGCGTAAGTACAAACATGTGATATGATGCTGGTCCCATGCATTATGGTGGGTGTCAGCTGTCAAGGTGACCCAGAGGTCAGGTCAGGTCATTGACTTTTGATGACCTCGTTTCACTTCTCGCGAGTTTTACTTGTTTCTAATCTAGTTTTTGGTGCTAATTTCGAATTGAGCAACCATTTGAACATTTACGAGGTAGTTTTGGTGCGTAACATGCTACGCAGCTGTCAGAGGCCGTTGCCACCTACTCCGAATACCTCAGTTGGGCAAACTAGGCGGCGGGAATCAAAATATGGAGGCATCAAAATATTGATTCTAGTGGGCGGAGCTTTGACCATATATGGGCATAGAATCAATATTTTGATTCAATTTGGGACATTCCCACCTTCAGACGACCCGTTACGGCGGAAATAACCCCCATGACGGCGAGATTTTTTGACAAGTCAAAACAAAAAACTTCCCCGCTTCAATTTTTCGCTGCATGGCTATCAGCCGTTTGTCGCGCGTACCTTTACGAATGGCATAAAGATTTCGCCGCCATAATTCAACAAAAACGTGCTGATAAAACTTGCTCTGTTTATCATTAACGACGAGCCTTTGTATTTTTTTCATAATTTTGTCTAAAAGAAAATAAAAAATGCGTTATTTAGTTGTATAATTCATTTATAAGAAATATTCTTTTTCTTTGTATCTAGCCACGATTTCCGGTTCCCGCCATTTCGCGCCGGCGTCGTGGGTGTGTGGATGCAACGTAGTGCTCCCGGTTTTATTTTGTCTAAGCGACCTTTTCTGACGTGTAAGTAACAATGGATCATATTTTAAGATACTTTGAAGTGTGTTTTTCAATTTCAGGCATGTGATCTTAACGTTTCTTACCGAAAACTCGTTTTAAGAGATGGTTTTAGGAACATGGCGCGGTAGCGACGTCAGCGGCGCGGGACGCCTTCTCACTCTTCTATTGTCTTTTTAAGCTATATTTTTTTGAAAATGATGTCTTAGGTGTAGTATTTCAGTGAAATATGATGTCCTTTAAAAGTTACGGTATAAATTAGGTACAAGAAGCCTAATGTTTTGTCTCACCTGATAGAATTGTTGGGTGGACTCATGAAATGGGGGCAGTGCATGTCCAGTATTTTACATAATTTGGATGTTTTAGCCTCTGCTTGTGTCTCACTCACCCAATTGTTGCTACAACTTTAATTTGTAGCATTTAAATTTTTAATGGCAACTAGGTTATTGACTTGTTCCGAGTCAAGATTGAAAGGTCGTAGTGCATGTTCGTGTTTGCCTTATCTAAATAGTAGGTATGTATGCTTGGCTTGTAATTGCTTCGCCGATTTTTGCTACATATTTAATGATGCTTACTTTAAGTGTAACAAAAGCAAGTTGCTGAATGGTGTAAGCCATATTTACATTATGCGTGATCTTCAAGAAAATTATGTGTCTAATGTACGGCAGTCCAGGGAATGCTGGATAGTTAATTTTCAGGATTGTCCATGCCAAAGTTAATTTTAGAGGCCAGTTTTATCAACACAAATAGCTGCCTGCTGAAATTTTTTGCCTTAAGACTGTTTCACATATGGAGCGTTAACATGATGGGCACGTAAAAGGATAGGGCTGTACCGTTCATGCTCTGTATGTGAAGTAACTTTTAAACAAAAAAAAAAAAAATCCAGCAGTCACCTATTTTTCTGTTGGTACAACTGGCCTCAGATCTACTTTTTTGGCAGAATTTATATAATTGCATGAGATGACAGTTGTTGGCGCACCTGGTGGCGTTCAGTGGAAATTTAAGTGACATTAAGTATTTAATTTTTTATTAAATACATTCTAAAATTAATAGTTGCTGAACAAGGGGAATAATAACACATATAGTTTCCTAATTTATTGTCCACAAATGTCCTAATTATTGTGTTCTGTTGTTTGCTGCAGGTCAACCAAGGATCAAACACTGGTCGTTGCGGGGATCGGCTTCAGAGGGCCAAGGATGGCGTCTTGAATCGCTGTTTAGTCGACAGGCAACTGTATGACGCCATCCCTGTCAACCAGAGCGTCGACTGAAGTAGGGCGGCGTTGCGCGGACCTGGCCGCACCCGACCAACCGGCGGAGTACCTGACTCGGGCTGGGCGGAGACTACCTACATCACGACCTTTTGAACTTTGATCTCGTGGCGAGAAACAATATGACGTAAGGAAGTGTGTATGTGGCTGGCGGGGCCGAGGGTGAAATGCGCCACGTGTTTATCCTGCCGGATGACGACAGCGTCACCAACCTGTCAAAGAACGAGCTGGTGCAGCGCGTGATGACTGCTATCTCGTCCCTAGAACCGGAGTAGAAAAACGTGCGCATAGCCCAGATGAAGCGAACCAAAACACAGACAGGACTGATAGCTTTTCGGTCGAGAATGTTCTGAAGATGCTGATCAGTAGACCAATTGGTGACCGTTTTCGGTGGTAATATGGGATCTTGTGGTGTTCCAAAGCGACCTGCTTTGGGTGTGGACATAAGTGGCTCAACCTGACAGGATTGATGTTTTAGGTAGCCGTGCTAATCATAAACCCTATATTGAGTGTATCTGTACAAATTTTGTTTATATTTATTTCATGTATTTGATTCGAAACCGAAAATTGCTGTTTGTAATTAGGCAACATCGAGACGTTGAGGTCATTCTCCAGACGTTTATTTGTTTTTTTCTCACCTGTCCGCGGTATGTCTTATTGGTTAGGTCTCAGTTTCAAATATTATTAACTGCATGTTTTGCAAATACGTAGCCATATTGAATAAGAGACGTGTCCTAAAAGTGAGTATTGCTTTGCATGGGATGTGAGCATCAACGACAGGGCTTTGTGATGGCAAATATGTGGCAATTGCAGGGATCGTTGTGAAATGTGTTATGAATATCATCGTATTATTTGCGAATGCAAATACATCCGTGTATCATATTTTCATTCAAATTGTGCAATTTGTGCAACGGGCTTGAGTATATTGTTCGGCGAAATATCTCCTACTGTACTCCACAGAAATGGGACGGGATACAGATGCGTAGAAACACATTCATGAACACGTGAAAGACGATAAGTTAACTTTTTTTTACTCAAAATCAATGCTACAAAGCAGGGATGTGGAGCCGTGAAAATGTCAGACGGCTTCGGCTCCGGAGGAAAAAATCGGCTCCAGCTCCGGCTCCGGCTCCGAGTAAAATGGTCGGGCTTCGGTTCCGGCTCCGACTCAGTACAACCCCTATACAAAGGTCAGCACGGCTCCCTTCACGCATTCCCTCGAAGGCTTGCAGCTTTGAGCAGGGAGCCAGGGTGAGTGCTGAAAATCCCTGGTCTACCGTGGGAATAAGGTCTAGAAAAAAATTACACGATCCTGTGCTGATAATATCTTAATGAATTTATTGAATTTGCATTATTTGCACACAAGAAACATCCCATAAATCAATTTAAAGGGTGAAGTACGTCTGCAGAAAGTCAGTTCGCAGAATCAATATATTGATAAACCAGCTGATTTCAGAATCAAAATAATGATTAGCCAGCTGTTTGCAGAATCAAAATATTGATTCTCGCCGGGATTAGCCGCCGTGATGAATCAATATCTTGATTATTTTCAAGACACTTTCCAAAACTAACCAAAGAGGTTAGGGCTATTGTTTCGTGCCTGGTGGGCAGCTTCAACGTTGCTCTTCATTTTGTGAAGAAACTATCTTGAAATTGTAGCCGGTTGCTGAAGAATTGACGTTTCTGTGATGGTCTGCACGTATGCCCATATATGGTCAAAGCTCCGCCCACTAGAATCAATATTTTGATGCCTCCATATTTTGATTCCCGCCGCCTAGTTTGCCCAACTGACCTGGCAGGACCGCTATTGGTTGATCTGACCTGACTTGACCTGACCTAAGTCGATGAAGACATCATTGATTATCAAAACTTACAGGATATTCGTGATCAGCAACCCTAAAAAAGTAATATTCTCACTCAACGACGTTCTAACAGGTCCCGACTTTACCGTCGTTTGGGTCATTGTTCTGACCCGGAATGTCAACCAATGACCTTGGACCTTAAAAATCAGCTATCATCGGCTTCCTCTTGTCACGGGCAACACGTTCATTTATACCGCAAAGCTCTAGCTCGATCAGGGGCCAAACGGCAAGGCGGGATCCAACGGGCCCCCTCCCCCCCCCCCTACCTTCGCTGTTGGCAAGACACCAATACCGGCGAGGGTTGAGTGGCATTCGAAAGAACGTCAAAAAGCAAGACGAAACATTTCGGTCATCTTTAGGTCAGGTCAAAGGTCTGGTCACCAGAGGCCATCAAAGGTAAAATGTTGCCTACTTCAAACATTCTTCGAAAATCCGATGCATAACTTGGGAACCAGTAGAGCTACAGCGCTGCGGGAAATCGCATTCGATAACCCTTTTAACGCTCGATCCGTAATGTGTCCTCATAGTTGACCCCACGTCAAGGTTTAGTCTCTAGAGGGCAAATGAGTAAAGAAGCCGTTTTTACGAACTGTTTTGCTTCAATAGCTTTAATAACACAAAGGCTCAGGTCGCCACCTGGTAACAACAGGAGCGTCGTGGGTAGCCACCCGCCCACTTTTATGACCTTTGATGAAATACCTACCGTGGATGTTGAATATCGGTGACCTAAAATTACGTAAATTTCGCGCGCTTCCCATGTGGATAGGGGAAATTGAACTGCGCTTTTTGGGCGAAAGTCCTGAACATCATTCTGAGACCAAACAAGTCCTGTAAATGGTTACATCCCGGCAGCACTTACCGTCGGCTCCCCGTGGGTAGAGTGTCACCGATCGGGGAGCGGCAGCGGCGCCGTCACCGTCACCGTCACCCCTCGCCCCGCCGCCGCCGCCGCACCTACTGACGCCACCACAGAGCGCAGGGGGGCCGGTCGGCAACGCCACGTGACCGGCGTCGAGCTGCAGGCATTGCAGCGGCACTGGGGCACGTGACCAGGGGCAGTGTTCGGTGCCGGGCGGCTGCACCAATCAGCTCTGAGAGGCCGGGCCGGCTGGGAGGGGAATGGGACGGAGCGCCCCATAGAACTCGCCTCCCGTAGGCTTGAATGAATAGTCGCGTACATAGTCGCGTGGGTTTGTTTGTGTGCGTTGACTACGATGCTTTCTCACACTGCCTTTAATCGCGCCTCTTCACCCCCATTCGCCCCCATTTCACCATCTCTCAGTTGCAGGGGTGCAGCCCTCCGACCTCCAGCACCTCCAGCTCATTTCCAGCCCTCTCTCGGCCGGAGGGCGCAGGCCGTCCTCCAGGCTACGTCACTACCTATTGCCCGTCCTTGGGAATGGGATTACCATCCTATTTCGGGCAATCATACAAAGCCAGCTTTCGGAAATGTTGGTCGTGTATTTGTTCCTGGCTGACGCTCTTAGTCGCCATGGCCGATAGTCTGGGCCCTCGGGAGGAGGGGAGTCGGACGGCTGAGGTCACCCGGGGCTCTCTGCAGCACTGCCGGGCCGAGGCGCCCCTCACCGTGAGGGGTCGGTGGTGGTCCGGCGGTGGGCCGGCGGTGGACCGGCGGTGGGCCGGCGGTGGGCCGGCGGTGGGCGGTGGGCGGTGGTCCGGCGGTGGGTCGGTGGTGGGCCGGCGGTGGGCCGGCGGTGGGTCGGTGGTGGGCCGGCGGTGGGCGGTGGGCCGGTGGTGGGCCGGTGGTGGGCCGGCGGAGGCAGTTCAGCCCGCGCCGCCGCGCCGCCGATCGACTGGCGTCCGTAGAGGCCGAGCACGGAGCAGTAGCGCTCTGAGGCTATCGCGCCACTTCGACAGGCAGCTAGTTACAATTCATCCAACATGGCAACTGAATCATCTGCAAGCCGGCTGAGATTCTTGGACCGTTTGTTACGCAGGCATGTAACTATTTCTATTTAGCATCGCAACGAATTGCGTGGCGTGGTAAGTTACATAGGGGAGAGTGGGGAAAGATGCCCAGGGTTTTACTATGTCATATATTATTCGAAAATGACGATCGGAAAGCAAAAACTTGGAGTTTCAACGGAAGCCGACATCATTTTTCTCCAAAAATATCACACTTTCGTGCCTGAAATATGATAACGTTTTTTGCTATTAAGCATTTTCCTGAAGAAGTGAAAGGGGGCATCTTACCCCACAGGGTGGGAAAGACGCCCCCAGGCGTTGGGTAAGATGCCCCCTGCACTATAAGTGACATAAATGGGCACGTGAATCGCCTGAACGAATCAGTAGTCCCTTCGAGCCTGCAGTAGACACCAAACGTCATCGTAAGGGCCCTCAAAAGTAGTCGTAAGGGGCTTCAGAGGTCATCGTTAGGGCCATCATAGTCCAGCGCGGCCAAACAAGCCTCCGTGGTGGCGTTCGGAGACCACTGTGGGGCCCTTATAGGTCTTCATGATGCTTGAGGGCCCTCGAGCCCATCGTGGGGACCTCAGATGCCAGCGCGGCCCGTGGAGCCAACGTGGGAGCCCTCAAAGGATGTCGTGAGGGGCCCTGGAGCCAATAATGGGGCCCACATAGGCCATCGTGAGGGCTCTCAGAGTCAGATGCCGCCCAAAAAGTCGCTGTGTGTGCCGAGAGACCGGCATGGGGAGCACCCGACCGTACTGGACTCTCAATAGTCCCAGATCGGCTTTTGTCTCTCATCACAAGTATGTAATAAATGATTTGACGGGCTGCTTGAAGGACAGCCTACGGATTTAGGGGGGCGTCTTTCCCCATCAGGACAGGGGGCATCTTACCCCAAGGTACCGAAGTAACATTAAATCAGTACAATTTGTTAGCCATAAAACTACACCCTGAGATAAACTGTTTGGGACACAGTACACGCATGTTAATGTATCACGACTATAGCAAGGGACGCAAAAATTGTCTACCTTCTTTGATATTTACAATGTTTTGACACCAAAATATTTTTTGAAAGCAGCAAATAAAAAACATGCAATCACCAGCCATCCGTTGCCCAACTGAGCTTCGCAAATTTTTGTGCAGTCAACAAGGCAGGCTTCCGCTTTAGGCTAAAAACATTAATTTCCTGGTTCGATTCTTTGTTTCGCCGCTAGAGGGGGTGGGGCGTCTTTCCCACCCTGGGCATCTTACCCCACTCTCCCCTACTCGAAAGTCTATTTCTGTACCTAAGTGGGTAAATCACATGGCTGAGCTAAAAATGTCGACGCTCCCATGGTCCGTCAACCCAAAACCAATTCGATGCATTCGAAAGAAATTTTCCTTTCGCGCACTGAGAGACGTTTTGCGTCTCATCCTCGAATTATCAGAGAGACCTATGCAAATACGCTATCTTAACCCGCGCGGGGCTGGGGGGGGGGTAAATTTTACCCCCCTCGCGAATTTTTGCGATATCTCAAAAACGGCGGCGCGCAGCGCCGCCAAACTTTCAGAACCTTTTCTTACATCAATTTGACACGTTCCCTGAAAATTTGAGCGAAATCTGTCGGAAAATTTTTGAGAAATTGACGTTTTAGTGACGTCATGTTCGCCATTTTCGCCTAAAAAACGGCAAAAGTTCAAACGCCGCTAACATCTTCATTTTTAAAGGAATCAAGACGTAACAAAAAGGTTATACGTAATTTTACTTCGTCTATCAAATGGCTATCTCGGTTTTTTGAAAATTTTGGATTTTGGCCTAATTTTTTTCAAAAAACTGACTTTTTGGGAAAATCATTATAAAATCCAAAATTTTGAGTCTATCGAAAAAACCGGAATATATGTCAGAGAAAGGGTCTATGTGCACCTACATACCAAATTTTAGAAGAATCGGTTCAAAAATGTGGGAGTTATTCAAAATTTTATGACGTCACGACACACAAAATTTTTGAAAAATGACTTTTTTGGAAGTTCTAGACCTCGTACGGAAACAAAAATAGCACCATTCGATTCGCCGTGAAAAACTGTATCAGATAGACACCTTTTTAGGCCTTAACAACCAACTTCAAAATTTGACCTCACTTGACCTGACCTTGACCTGACCTCGACCTGAAATTCATCCAGAGGTGGTCCATATCACTTATTGAGTGTGCCTATTGAATTCTATGAGTAAAATGACCCATAAAACATGTGTCGCACATGCCCTTTTCTATATTTTGTTTTTTGGTGACCTGACCTGACCTGACCTGACCTTGACCTTGACCTCTGAATGATATTGTATGCAACGAATATTGTCTTGGTAGCCTAAGAACACGTTTTGGGCGATCAGTCTCAGTCCATGACTCCATTCTTCGGCAACTACGGTGCAAGGCCGATACTGTAGAAACTTGCAATTTGTACCCTTGACCTGACCTTGACCTTGACCTCAAACTTTAAATTAAGTACATGTTTTTAGTAGTTCGTGATGAGAGCTTTCGATTGGCGTTTGAATTTTCCAAATCGGACCATTAGTTCGGGAGATAACAGGGGGGGTAAAATTTACCCCCCCCCCAGCCCCGCGCGTTCGGCTGGAGACCCCAGCCCCGCGCGGGTTAACGATAGTCGATAATCATCCCATTTGTGGGCTATCTCATCCTCATATGTCTGGGGCCCTCCTAGGCACCTGCACTCCCTGGTTTCTGGAGCTCTCCCAGCCTCTGGCGCCCTCTCAGTCCCCCGGTGGGCCTCACGCCGCACCTCTAGCGGCGAGTGCAGTGGTCTGGCCCACCGGCTGATAGTCCCTGCCGAGCTCCAGCGACCAGCGCCGGTCACCAGTAACGCCGCCGACTCTGTCATTGGCGCTGCATTACCTATTTGTCGTTCACTGTATGATCAAAAACTACAATTATTGCACATTCGCTCCATTGACGCAATTCCCTATTATGTATTGTTAATCACACCCCGATGGCCCTAAATCTGTTATTTTCAAATCAGCACACTCCCAAATAGCACATGGATATCGACTAACCAGCAGCCAGTTTAAGTTCGGCTATGCTTATGATGTACTACACAGTACACAGTTCGGTGATCTTTGTCCCGCGAGCGAGCCCGTAATCTATCAGAGTGGTATAACATGGTAAAATGGACGGTCAGCTGGTAAGACCGGCTGTAAGCTGAGGTGCTGTTGTTCACTGAGGGGTAGGTAGGTCTACTGACCGATCGGCCCGGCCCGGCCCGGCCTGGTTCAAAACGGCTCCGTCACTGTGGCGCTCCTCAGTTTTCGACCACATACCGGTCCTATGTAAGTAGGTACAGTCTACTGTAAAGGCCACTATCTGGCCCCGGCTGGCCGCACGGACACCGTCCGTTCTCTGCGAATAGGTGAAGGCCGGGGGGCCAGAGGCGGCGCGCGCGTGCCCATCGGCCCACCTCCTATCTCCGGTCCGCCACATGGCTGGTTCCCTGGCCGCGATCACGCCCAGACCACGTGGCTGGCGCCGGAGGCCTATAAAGAGCGGCACCCTTGGTCACCTGTAGCCACCTGTGCAGTGACTGGAGCCGCCGACCGCGCCGCCAGCCTCCTCAGGTGACCGACTGCGACCGATACTGCCCAGCTCCGCGGTCACAGAGCGGCGATATTGCCCAGCTCCGCGGCCACAGAGCGGCGGCGCCCATGCCACCTGCTCGTGTGACTCATTTTCAAACTGCCGTCATCTATAGGCAACCCATTTTAGCCGGATTCTACATATATAGATTATGTCTTTTTGATTTTACTTTGTTTAAATGAGTGACAGGGGAGCTATTTAATCGCACCTTATCATATCATCCAGAACGCAGGAACTATTCAAAGGGTGGGGGAGTGCCAACCCCTACGTGACAAATACCTACAGGGTTAATGTGTGCCCTTCTGGATGGGGGGGGCGAATCTGCCCCTCCCATTTTTCGCCAAAAGCTTCTAAACTCGTAAAGTCACAGACGTTGAATTTAAGTACCTACCTTATGAAACATCAATTTGACATGTTTCCTGAAAAAAAATGAGCAAATCCGTTGAAGCATGTTTTGAGAAAACGACGTTTGACGTTATGTCACGCCATTTTCGCTCCAAATTTAGCAAAACTTCAATCGCCTGTAACAGCTTCAGTTTTTAAGGAGCCAAGACGAAACAAAAGGCATGTAGGCACGCTCTGTAACTGTTAAATGACAAAAATGTGTGATTTGATATGGCGGTGTTGTGGAAGAATTGGGACACCAAATGATGAAAACGGTAAAGGGGTGCAAAAGATGTGTTTTATTTTCATGTTTTGGATTGGGTTGCAGCTGCATCCTCTAATCACAAATACATCAAAGCGAACTGCGAAGACCAGAAAGGCTTACTCTTGTAAGAAAATGTGCATTTTATGGGATCATCGTGATCGTGAAAGACAATCCCGGACTTTAAAGCAGATAGTGTGAAGATAAGCTCCGACGCATCAATTGATAGGTAGACATAGACAATTAGACAGATAAATAATTCGAGATAAAAATGTTGTTCCAATATCTTTGTGTACTATCAGTATCAATATCAGTATTTTTATGTGTCCCAATTCGGCCTCGTGTCGTCCCTTTTCTCCTACGTGTGTCCCTATTCTCCCAAAAATTAGTGTTTTTACTTTTATCCACATATAACCACGTCCTCACCACTACATAGGCTCGGTTCTTTATAATGGTATGCTGCAGAGAAATGGCCCATCTTTTATTGGTGCTGCACAAAGCAGCTTGACTACAATACTTTTCAAATAACACCCCAGTAAATATGGTCTGATAAATAATACCCAATTCTCCCGCCTCTCCCCTACGTGATTATTACTTTGTCTTTCAAATGGCTACCTCGCTTTTTTGGGAAATTTTGAATTGTTAACCATCAAAAAATGGGATGGGGGAATCATTAAAAAGTCCAAAATTTTCAGTTTATAAAAACCATAAATATATGTTAGAAAAGTGTTGTCTGTGCATTCAAATGCTTCAACAAGTTAAGTTTTTTTTCTTCAAATTTTTAGGATGAAACGACACATAAAGTTTTAAAAAAGTGAAGTTCTATACATCGTACAGGGACAAAATAGCAGCTTTTGATTTGTCATGAAAAACTGCATCAGATAAACCCTTTTTGTAATTAACCCGCGGCCTGCAGGGGGGGGGGGCGAAACGGCCCCCTGCCCTTTTCGATAAATATCTCCTAAACGACTGCAGATATCATCACCAATCTTTCAGGAAGCTTATTATCAGGTAAGTGGTAAAGTTAATCATTAGATACCTATATTCATTTTCAGACCAGTTTCAACTGTTACAAAACCATCTTCATGAAAGTTAAAACAAGTACATGTTACATGACAAGATGATTCAAATAAGTTGGCATGGCATGACTGTACTTCGATAAAATCACAGTTGTTGAAAAAGTTCGAGACATATTTGTGAACATCTCTAAATCAAATTTTTGGAGGGGGCATATGATCGGTTCTATGAGACAAGTGACCACACACGCACAGCCCCTGGTCCGCTCACTCCCCACATCACCCCCGCCCCACACCACACGCCAGCCCGGCTCATCCACCGAACCGAGCCAAATTGACAGGCCTGACCCTTAACCCCCTCCCCCCTCCCCCCAGCTGGTGTGACGCAGCGCCCGGTCAAATCGCTCTACCAGGCGACCCGAGCCAGTGTCATGCATACAGTCGTCATCATACATGGGTAGGCTGTGCCGCTTAAAGGGACACACCCACCTTAACATTAGTTTTTAGTTGAGATAGCCAAATTGGTGGCCATGGCCTGCAACTACCGGTTTGGGCACTCACAACATCGAAAAATGCTTTAATTCGAAGATATGGAATTTCAAACTTGCAGTTTTCGGATTCTAAGGGGCTAATGCATTGGAATGCCCCCTTAGAATTTGTGACGTCAGCGGAGATCTAACGATTTTTAAATCTTAGACTAAAACCATCGTTAACACGTGGTGGTATACGCTGCTTTGCGCGCAACGTCTGCCGCACTTTAAGGCTGCCAAATTATTGCTTCCAAATAAAGTCGCTAGTAACAGGGGAGATCCCAAAAAGTAAACAAAAGTAAAAGCCTAATATCTTGAAAACCAGTGAATATTTTTCGGTGAAATTTGGTAGATATTCGTTTTCGCTCTTTCTGAACCAAGGGACATCACTTTCATGCCAATTCATTAACTTTTTTGAAGGTGGGAGGGTCCCTTTAACTCTTGGGTCATGCGGCACAGCCTACCGGTACTTGGCGGCTGCTGCCAATACTGAGCCATAGGAACCCGGCGGATAAAGAGTAGTGGACAATCAACCTGTAGCCGACTGTACCAGAGTCATACCAGTCTGTGCACACAAAGGAATATCTGACCGTACAGGTACTTAGGTCACCTACATAAGCATTCATCCATTCGTGACCACAGTCTCCAATGTGACACACCGTTCACCATGGAAAACATTAGAAAACGATTTTGGACAGTGAGCAGCAACATCTTTTTTTGCAACAATTAAACAAAGCAACAATTATAATTTTGGAATCAATTTACATCCATCAATATCGACCAAAATCAACTGGAGTAGCTCTGGAGTAGTACGTCATACAGTGATCCTAGCTAGTAACCTGCAAACTGTGCTTTAGTTTACGATTGAACGGTGTCTTCGAACCACGAGTGTTTTACCGAATATGTCTCAAGTACCCTCAGGGTATCTAAAGCATCCGTTCTCAAGTGCGTAAACCAAAAATGAGCCTTATCTGACTTGAAAGCCGGCGGCCAGAGCCCAAAATGTGAACAAGCCAAACATAGATAATTCTTACTTTGACCCGACCTGTCACGTCATCGGTAACCTCGAGGTCACTAAAATTAGGTTTCGCTCGACAAGTTTTCCGAGGCTATCAGACACCGTTTGAATTTTGACGATCGGTCCAGTAGTTTTGGAGTTAGGAGGGGGGCTATGAATACCTAGCCATCCCCCCCCCCCAGTAGGGCGTGTTATACGCAGAATCCAGTGGGGCGCAGGTTGACTTTCAGGAACACTCGGGCATCAATTTTACACATTTTGACAAAACGATTTTCCAACAGGTATGATAGGCTGGCCACAAATGACGTCAGAATGACGTTATGTTCTGCCATTTTGACTAAGGTTTCACGGGAAGAGCTGCCAAGTGTCAGTCCTAGAGCTTTGAAGATACAAAAAAAAACATACTCTGAAATAAAAGGTGTAGAAATAACAGGGCTACAAAACTGCTATCTCGGATTTGTCAATTTTTGGATTCTGGCCCCCAAAAATAAAAAAGTACTCTTTTATTTAGCAACCAGAAAATTAAAAAAGCGAATTAGGAAAAAAATAACAGAAAACGTATAGTTAATAGTCCCTGCCGTCTTTTATCCACATACCAAATTTGAGATCGACATCAGTGTTCGCCACGGGCCGCAAAATCTTAGTCCAGCCCAGCCCAGGCCCATGGGTTTACAGCCCGGCCCAGCCCGAGCCCATTCATGGTAAAAGCGTCAAAGCCCAGCCCGGCCCAGCCCGTCAAAAATGAATGGGTTAAAAATTATTGACACCGCACAGGTACCCAAAGGTAGCAAAGAAACAATATTTTGCGAGCCGCATGCACAATGCACATTGCATGCGTGCTTTACTGACTCGTTTTTTAGTCTTGCACAGTAATAAGCTATGTAGTTATAGTTTTCGTCTTAGTTGCGAGCCCCTGACTCCACTTAACAGTTCCTGGCCCAGCCCATCCACAGCCCATCGATCCTTCATATTTAAGGGCCCAGCCCAGCCCGTAGCCCAGCCCAGCCCATGGCCCATTGGGCTGGCCCGGCCCATGGCGAACACTGATCGACATCTCTCTTTTTGGCCAAGTTACACAAAACAAATTTCAAAATTGATGACGTCAAATTTTCAAACTCAAATTTTAGCAATTCTTGACACGTAGCCCAAAACAAAGACCACCATTAGACTCTCTGTGACGAACTACATCGAAAAATACCCTTTTTGCAAAAAGATGCATTAACCCGCGCCCCACTGGGGGGGGGGGGGGGTATGCGCAGTTCTTCATAGCCCCTCCCCCTCCTAATTCCGAAACTATAAGGCTGATCGTCAAAATCCAAAGGGAGTCTGTTAAACCCGGAAAAACTGTCGAGCGAAACCTAATTTCATTGACCTCGAGGTCATCGATAACGTTACAGGTCAGTCAAAGGAAAAATTATCAAAGTTTGGCTTGTTCACATTTTGGGTTCTGGAAGCCGGCTTAGAAGTCAGATTAGGCTCGTTTTTTGGTTAACACGCTCGTGAACAGATGCTTTAGATACCCAGAGGCTGATCCAGCTCAGAGTTTTTTTGGGGGAGGGGCAAACCATAACAATTTATTGATTCTGTCCATGCATCGTCCATACCTGCGTAATGCTAAAATTATGCCGTTTGGGGGTGGGCAAATGCCCATTTTGCCCCCCTGGATCCGCCACTGTAGATACCCTGAGTGTACTAAGCCTGTACTTTGATTTTCAGGTCAGGGTCAGGTCATTACAGGTCACGGAAATCTTATATCAAGCATCGGTCACGTGACACATGTTTTATGGTCCGTTTAGGCCATATATTTCGAATTCGATGTCGTTTATGTCATTTGAGGTCATTTTGAGTTGAATTTAGCTTAGGTAAGACCACTTTCAGGTAAAAAATCAAATATTAGGTTAAAAATTTCCAACAAAAAAAGGTGTTTATCAGATGCAGATTAAGCTCAGAAGCACGATGGTGCTATTTACAATGGTGTACGATGTCAAATACGTACTGAAAAATTGATTTGAAAAAATTTCATTGTGACTTTTTGGCTATCTTGCGTATAACTTGGCCATTTTTGAAGATATCTGGCTTAAACCTGCTAGAGTAACTCCTAAGCATGTGTTTTATCACATATATTCCGGTTTTGTCGAAAAGTCAAAAACTAAATATGGTGATGAAATTGACCAATAACAAGGCAGTGAGATGTGTTTTTATTCAACAAAATAAGGCCGAAAATATAGAACAAGCTTTCGTCTTACATCAACGGGTTCTGATCTAGCCGAGGCAATCACATTTGAAAAATTGAAACGGAGCCAAATATTCACACGTGTACGGCCCTCCAGGCATTAAGTGGTTGGTTGCCAGCATCAATAATAATCAATCTGCATTGATGAATATGTCTAATGGCTGTTGAAAACCACTGCCGAAATGTGTGCACGAACCCCCTTCTCATTTCTATTGAGACATTTTACAGGAGTGTCTCTGCCATTTAAAGTTATTACACCAAAAGCACATAGGCTAACCAACCACTCTTTTGCTGGAGGGCCATATATTGGCTCAGATGGCTTTTGAAGGTCATGTAGCGATGCGCATTGCGCAATTGAGGCGAACACTTAACAAAACTAATACAAATATAGGTACAAATAGATACAATATTTAAACAAGAGCAGACCGCAGCACGCTCGCCGTCACATTCCACTACATCACACACACCACACACACATATATACCAATATTTATCCATACAGATATGTGGACTGAGGTCAAATAGGCTACACAAGTATCCTTACAAATTTCATAGTGAACTACATCGTAAACCAGTGGTCATCTGGTAAAATTGTAAATTGTAAGGATACTTGTGTAGCCTATTTGACCTCAGTCCACATATCACAATATCTGTATCAGTGACGTACCCAAGGGGGGGGCACGGGGGCCAAGCCCCCCCCCCCCCTGAGCGCCTTCGGCGCTCAGGGGGCCCCTCAGGCCCCAGGAAATTTTTAAACACTGGATAAAACGTCTTTTACTCGGAAGAAAAATTGATATTAAAGTTTCATTTATGTGCCCTGGGTACCCGAGGGGCCCCTGCAGTCATCCAAGGGCCCCCAGTTTCCTGGGCCCCTGGTCGCCTAGGGGGCCTCTGGTAGCCGAGGGCCTGCTCTCATGGGGGCCCCTGATAGCCTGTGGCCCCTAGTCGCCTAGGGGGCCCTGGTCGCATGGGGGGCCTCTGGTCGCATGAGACCCCTGATCGACTGGGGGCCCCTAGTTGCCTAGGGGGCCCTGATAGCCCGGGGCCTGGTCGTATGGGCCCCTGATAGTCTGTGGCCCCTAGTCGCCTAGGGGGCCCTAGTCGCATGGGGGGCCTCTGGCTCTGGTTGCATGATATTGAGGCCCCTGATCGCCTGGGGGTACCTAGTCGCCCAGGGGGCCCCTGGTAGCCGGGGGCCTGGTCGCATGGGGGCCCCTGGTTGCCTGGGGCCCCCGGTCGCCCCTAGTCGCCTGGGGGACCCTGGTCGCCTTGGGCCCCTGGTAGCCTGGGATCCCCTGGTCGCCTGGGGGCCCCTGATCGCCTGAGGGCCGCTGGTCACCTAGAGGGCCCCTGGTCGCCTGGGGGCCCCTGGTAGCCGGGGGCCTGGTCGCCTGGGGTCCCTGGTCGCATGGGGGTCGCCTGGGGGCCCCTGATCGCTTTGGGGACCTGATCGCATTGGCCCTTGGTCGCCTGGAGGGCCCTGGTCGCCTGGGGCAGTGGGACCCCTAGTCATCTGGAGGACCTGGTCGCATGGGAACCCCTGGTCGACTGGGGGCCCCTGGTCGTCTGAAAGTACGCTTATCACCTGATTGATCCCAAATCATCTGAGTGGCTACTGGCTACTGGATATAAGTAGTGACTGGAGTAGGCGCTCATCTGAAGGAGCCAATATCTTTCACGGTGCCGGAGATATCACAGAAAAACAAAAAGGCTAAACTGAATACCCCCCATGGGCCCCAACCTTGGCCCCAAAGGCGTCATTGGCTAACACAGGGATATGGGTCGATTTGCAATCGCATTTCCTCCTGAGTCCTATTCCTCCAATTAATACAGAGTATCCCAGAATTACCCAAACATTTATTTTCTGGCTAAAAGTACAATTGCGCTCGATTCCTAGTGAAATATATAATAGCCGCGTTTACATAGGGCTAGTTGCCAGATAGTGGAATTCCGATAACGAGACATTTATTCCCCACTATTATATTATATACCTACATATCCGGAATTGGAGGATGTTCAGTAATTGAGGCGCTCGCTCATAAAATGCCGTGCGTTTCATGCACACTCCTCAGCAAAAATATTTTTACTTTCCAATTTTCCACATTTTCTCAAGGCTTAGATCGTTACAGAGACCGTTTTAATTGACTTTGATGAAGTTGAACGCGAGAAATCACAACCAAATGCTACATTAGGTTGTAAAGAACTGAATTGCGTTTTCCCACACACGTGGCGTTTTCTCACCTACGTCTGCAGGAGAGACCAGACCCACTATGCCCCCCCCCCCCCCACCATCGAAAGGTTCTTCATGACTCCCGGGGGCCCCCGGGGAACCTGGGGGGCCCTATACACTGTGGGGGGCCCCTTCGAAAGCAGGTGGCCCCTCCTGGGCGAAATCCTGGGTACGTGCCTGATCTGTATGGATAAATATTGGTATATGTGTGTGTGGTGTGTGATGTAGTGGAATGTGACGGCGCGCGTGCTGCGGTGTGCTCTTGTTTAAATATTGTATCTATTTGTACGTATATTTGTACAAGTTTTGTTAAGTGTACGCCTCAATTGTGCAATGCGCATCGTTCTCTCGTTCTATATTTTCGGCCTCATTTTGTTATATAAAAATACATCTCACTTCCATGTTATTGGTCAATTTCATCACCATATTTAATTATTTGATCATGGCAAAACCGACCATTCAATACATCAAAAGTCAAAAACTTTTTGAAAAAAGATAAAAATATGAATTTTGAATTTTCGTATATAAAATTAAAAAACAATCAAATTTTTGAAAATCCGAGATAGCAGTTTCATAGCGCAGTCTATTTTGAGTCCTCTCATGCAAAGAAATTGGATCTAGCTTAAAACTGAGCTCTTGGGAGCGATTGCCGTCGTTCAATGTTTTGCGTCGAAATCGGCCGAACATGACGTCACCTGACGTCATTTCCGGCCGACGTATGGTAGCTTCGAAGTTCATATTTTCACACAAGGTGTCAAATTGACGCAGCCGAAGGTATTGAAAGTCGTTATTGCATAAAAACGAGAGGGGGGCTATGAATAGCCCCCCCCCCCAGTGGGGTCATGGGTTAACTTTGAAACTTGAGTTTTGATCTAAATTGACCTGACCTTCACCAGAACGTATTCTAAACTGGCCCCAAAGGCTGCGTCACCCACATAATCGCATTTGCACGTTAAATGGACCATACAACATGTATCAAACGACACTTTCATATTGTGACCCTCAGTGACGTGACCTCTGTGACCTGACCTAGTATCAGTGACCTCAAATAGCAAAATATGTGTTTGACTAACAAGTCTCCATCGATGATTTTCCATCATATGCTTTTTACTCGATTTTACAATACATTTCTTGAAAATCTGTATACGGTGAAAATGCGATATTTCACCTGACCTGTGACGTCATCGGTTGGAACGAGGCCAACGAAATTGGATCGCAAGGTAGCTCACCGGTGGGGCTATCGAACGCCGTTTGAATTTTGAAAATCGGCCGGTAACTTTTCGAGACCTTAGGGTGGCGAATCCCCCCCCCCCCCCCGATAGCCGTTCTAGCTCCAGAAGGGCCACAAAGGTAGGGATGGCCCACGCCCCCCCCCCCCCTCGACCAGAGTGCCTATGCGACCGTCGACAGGTCCAGCGAAGGTTAGGGGTGGAGATCCAGCTCTTTCAGTCAGTGGCCATCGGGTGGGGGCTCAGTCAAGGGTGGGGCTGGGAAAAATGTTGTGGCCTTGGTTCCCAGCTGTTGGGTGCTGCATGGGTAATATAGCTTCCCGTCAATGTTGGTATGTGGCTGCGAAAAGCTCGCGACCTGAATACCAGGCCTACCTGCGGTGACGGCGATGGTATGTGTGTGTGTGTTTCCGCAGCCATGTGCACGCGCTCGGTGCTCGCGCTCTGCGCGGCGCTGCTGACCTGCGGCGTCCACAGCCGTCTCCAGCCGCCGGCGGTCGGCGCCCAGGTCGGCACCAACACCTACGAGCCGGAGCAGATTCGGCTGTCCTACCTCAGTGAGTACATACACATTATGCAGAGTAGCCTGTCCATGTACCTCAGTGAGTGCAGATTCACCTGTCCTTCATCAGTGAGCAGGACAGTTAAATGCATATTCACCTGAAGTGGGTTGTACATACCTAGGCATGTACAGATTCTCTTGTCCTACGGCAGTAAGAAGTAGGGTAGGTTGGAGTAATTTCAAATTTGAACAGGTATGGGAATTTGAACATAGTATGAATAACACAAAATTACGGAAATCCATAAGTGGCACGACAATAAGACCAATGAGGGAAGTTATCGTAAAGTAGTAAAAGGGCTATCATACGAACGGGGTTTGAAGTTTCAGGGAGTGAAGATGTTGACGCACACTGTAAAAAATCTATTTCGCAAGTAAAAACACCCAACACGTCATTGTAAATTAATTGCAGCGTAAGAAAATCTTGCATTGCTAGCGCCTAATATGTAGGTACAATGAAGAAATAAGTGTTTTTATTCCAAGAAAGTTGCTTATGAAACCTGTTTTTGAATAAGGCAAAATAACTTTCAGCGTGTGGTAATTTGAGCATAGTGTGATAATTTCAATGGATACAGGGGTCGGAAAAACAACACTCTTAGTTTTTTTTTTTTTTGCCAATATCTTCACCCCAAAGCAGTAGCAGATAAGCGACGCCAGTTTTAGAAAATGGGGAGAGAAGTCGTATTGCGCCCTATTCTTAAAGGGACCCTCCCACCTTCAAAAAGTTAATGAATTGGCATGAAAGTGATGTCGCTCGGTTCAAAAAGAGTAAAAACGAATAGATACCAAATTTCATCGAAAAATATTCACCGGTTTTCAAGATATTATACTTTTACTTTTGTTTACTTTTTGGGATCTCCGCTGTTCCTAGTGACTTTATTTGAAAGTGCGGCACTTGTTGCGCGCAAAGCAGCATATACCACTGCGTGCTACCAAACGTTTTAGCAAAAAAAAAAATCGTTAGATCTCCGCTGACGTCACAAATTCTAAGGGGGCATTCCAATGCATTAGCCCCTTAAAATCCGAAAACTGCAAGTTTGAAATTCCATATCTCCGAATTAAAGCATTTTTCGATGTTGTGAGTGCCCAAACCGGTACTTGCAGGCCATGGCCACCAATTTGGCTATCTCAACTCAAAACTAATGTTAAGGTGGGATGGTCACTTTAAATGCGCCCAGCGCCACACCTTCCTCCTGCCCCAAATACGATTCGAACGAATACTCGAATGTGTGCATTTACTTCACCACCAATAACTCGCTCTTCTTCCGGTCCACGGGGGCAGGTGAGGTGTCTCAGCTTTCTCGCAGACCATTCTTTGTGATTTTCTCTATTTTCTTACGCGAAACAGTCTATTTCGACCTTTGTTAGTGTCATGGTTTATCTTAGAGATAATGATTCGACTAATTATCATTGTTAATTGTTCGTTAAATGGCAGTTTTGAAAGCTTACCACCACTGTAGCTTTGCTGTCGCCGCCATGTTTCAAGGTCATGAAAAATGTGTTCCAATATATTCCTGCCCGGGGCCGGGATGATTCAATAAATGTTGTAACCTTGCGCTCGTGATAGTAAAAAAGAAACATAACCTGAATTCTCGCGTTGTGTTTTAAAAGAAGATGTTCCTTCTGGCTTTTATTGCCTTTAGCCAAAAGAGGTTAGTAAAAGTGTGGCCGCAAGTGACCAGGCCCGACAGTCGAATGCCGGGGGCTCTGCCCGCTCCGGCCCGGCCACGGCTTGGCCGGCACACAATGCTACACGTCATACATGTACGTCATATCTCGGGGCCAATCATGAAAGGATTACCATATTAGGAATTAAAGCGGGGCGGTCGGCAAGGAGGCTAATTGAGAGGACAGGGAAGTTACTTCGTTACATCACAACTGCGAGGTCCTTTTGAAATTTGATTCAAATAAATCATAATTTCAACTTCAATTACTTTATGGGAAAGGATATGACGTACAACACAAGTTAGTCATATCATTCACAACACAACAACACATAATACAACACCACACGCATACCACAACACATCACAGTACAACACGACATAACACAATATAACACAACACTAGCGATATATAAGAACAGAAAAGACGGGCGATGATATTTAAGTCTCGTAGTTGAAGAAGTAGTTATTGTTACGGAGCGAGCGAAGCGAGCGTAGTCTTTCCTTAGATTAACGGAAATTTCTGAGTATGAGCGGCCGGCCGGCCGGCCGGCCGTGGTCACGCTTTTGCGAGGCTTATATCTCAGCAACCACTTGACCGATTTACCTGCGGTAATTTTTGTTGGGTAGCTTCATTCCTTCTACCAAGTATTGCACTATTCCCGATGCATGTGGGTGACCCCTTATGCACGTGCCACGTGCAAAACCAAGAGGTGTCACTTTTGTAATTGTTGCAATATCTCGGTAACTACTGGGCCGATTGCGCTGAGATTTGGCATGTAGGTAGGCACCCACTAGGCAATGCATATCCATGTGCCAGAGTTGGGGTGCTGCTGCACGTGCGCACGTGCAGGGGTCGTTTCCAGATCTCGAGAACGGCTGGACCGATTGCGCTCAAATTTGGTACACGGTTACGGAGCAGTTAGTAGGGTGCCGTGCACAAGTCAGTTGGGACCCATTTTGCACGTGCGCACGTGCAGGGTGCCGCTTCCAGAACTCGAGAACGGCTGGACCGATTGTGCTCAAATTTGGCACATCGCTAGAGACCGGTTAGTAAGGTGCCGTGCACAAGTCAGTTGGAGGTACCCCCTCGCAATTTCGCACGTGCAAGGCCCACCCTCTCGCTCGCTCCGTTAGTCGCCACAAAAGGCGTTATACTGGTTTATAAGAGTCCACCAGTTCAGTTCAAAGTTCACTTCTGGTTGCAGTTCATGTGACTCACTCACCCATTTCTGTCTTTGTCACTCACACTATTGCTCAATGTTCATACTTTCAGTCTCTATCGAACCATTAAAAGTCCACTGATACTGTACCGGGGCACCGGGGCGATGGGGTCCAGGTGAACAGGTGTCGGGGACACGGTGCTGATGTAGGACGTTCCGCCGGCTGTGGGGTCCCGTGGGCGGCTCTGGTGCTCACCGCGCACCACGAGACCCTGAGGGCATCGAGTGTGTACCCAGTGCCGGGCGGAACGACGTTACCGTTGGTCAGCAGAGCACCGAGTCCGGGCGGCTTCGTTGTGTCGCCGACGTCAGGTATTGTCAGCCGACGTCAGGTCTGTCACCCGACAGCAGCAGCGTCAGCTGATGCGCCGCGCCTGTGTGGTGTCACCTGGGGTACCCGTTGACCGGCGGCAGCCTGGCAGGTCATCTAGTCTTTGTCTCCATGACCGGCTGCGACCTCGGCGCCAGTCAGCCTCTGTGGTGTCTGGCGGCCTCCGGGGCCCGGTTTCATATCTCTCGGTTCGATAGGCTGGTCTCTTGTTTCTGCCGAGACAAAAGCCCCGTTTCCATGACACTTCTGAATCCGGATTAGCTCCGAATCCGGATTCAAACGACCATGGAAACGGCACATTTCGCGTTGGGGGATCGGATCGGGTAATCCGGATTCAAAAAGAAGATTAGAGAGGCCGATCCCACTTTGGCAGCATATGGCAGCACTATTCCCTTTGCGGCAGGCGGCGCCGCCGCCATTTTGAACTGAGCGTTTCGGCGCCAGTTTTAGTCTGCGGTTAATGTTTGCTGCAATAATTGGGATAAATTTTCTTAACCAATTGTTACAAAGCACGGCAGAAACTTACATGGTCGCAAGAGGAGACGACAAACGACACTACACACTCAGCACACCCATGTCCACCCTCCCCGAGCGGCACCGCGCGACACTAGGGGACGCGCCAAGGTCGCGCCGTCTCCCCTACCCGCCGCGGCGGGGACCCTCGCCGCCGGCAGTACAGTCTCGCCGCCGGCCAGGTACAGTCTTTAACACTGACAGCGTGGTCGCTGAATCCCAGTCGGTAGTCTCTGCGCACAAACGGTGACACAGATCCCTGAAAAGACACAACTTGCCGCTTGATTCGCATTAGCTTGAGAACGTTATGAAGGGAATTATGAAGTAAATCGCCGCAGCGCGCCAGTTACGTCTACCAATCCCGGATTAGAGAAGCCGATCCGGATCGGCCAATCCTGGTGCGAATCCCGTTTCGGGAGGGATCGGTCATGGAAACGGCACTGCTGATCCGGATTCGCCGATCCGGATTCGCCGATCCGATCCTGTCCGTAGTGTCATGGAAACAGGGCTACAGAAGACGAGCGGCAGTATCGGGCGTTGACAGATGGGGAGCCAAGTCAGGTGTTTGTCGTGTCCTCCAGGGCTGGTGTCGGTCGTTTGGTCCGGTGCAGAGTCGTCATGAGTCGAGTCGGGGGTAGGATTTATGTCAGGGGATGAGAAGTCGGGGCGGACAGAGGGGCTGAACGTCAGACATCGGGCGTACTTTACGGTTAGAAGCACTAACACAACCAATGCTTCACTTATCAATGTTAACTACTTAGTTAACCGTTATTTAATAGCATATTTAACATTTGAATATATTAATTTCCGTAAGTAATTTAACAGGTCAATACACCGATGTCGTCGGTGCTTTGAAAAACGACAAGAAACTTGGTAATTTAACATTTTAACACGGTATGGTAACTTTGACACATACGTCCTTAATGTCTGCGTCGAAGTAGGGCATTGTATCGTCAAGTGATAGAAAAGTACATTAGTATAAACGGGTTGTTGAGATATTAGAACGATAAAAGGATAAAACCAATCCGTCCACATCTGCAAACACACAACAATTCATGAGTTAGTATGGTTAGACACTGTGTTGTCGTACAGACAACACGTCAATATCAAAAATGAGCTTTACGGCATTCTAGCCGTCCGGAACATCCGTTACATCTGACATACTAGCCAGTGTACTAATAATGGCACATTACGGCATTCTAGCCGTCCAAATCATACGTTACAACTGACGTCCTGGTCAGTGTACATAGCATACCGCTCAGGCACG